CATGCTGATCACAGCTCAACTCGCAAAACCACACAGACGTCACAGCGCACCGGAACTTCTCCGAGTACAGACACCCCCCACATACCATCATAATAGCGTGTGACTGAGGGGGGGGGCATTAGAGTGTAAGCTCCTCTGGTGCAGAGACTGATGTGACTGTGGGAGAGGGGACATTAGAGTGTAAGCTCCTCTGGTACAGAGACTGATGTGACTGTGGGGGGAGGGGGCATTAGAGTGTAAGCTCCTCTGGTGCAGAGACTGATGTGACTGTGGGGGAGGGGGCATTAGAGTGTAAGCTCCTCTGGTGCAGAGACTGATGTGACTGTGGGGGAGGGGGCATTAGAGTGTAAGCTCCTCTGGTGCAGAAACTGATGTGACTGTGGGGGAGGGGACATTAGAGTGTAAGCTCCTCTGGTACAGACTGATGTGACTGTGGGGGAGGGGGCATTAGAGTGTAAGCTCCTCTGGTACAGAGACTGATGTGACTGGCTCAGTGATCTCTGTACAGCACTGCGGTGTATGTCAGAGCTATATACATGTATAATAATAGTGTGTGTGACTGTGGGGGAGGGGACATTAGAGTGCAAGCTCCTCTGGTTACAGAGACTGATGTGACTGTGGGGGAGGGGACATTAGTGTGTAAGCTCCTCTGGTGCAGAGACTGATGTGACTGTGGGGGAGGGGGCATTAGAGTGTAAGCTCCTGTGGTGCAGTCTGAAGCAACTGGTTTTGTGTTCTCTGTGCAGCACCACGGTATACATCAGAGCTATGTCAATGTATAATATTAATAATGTGCGACTTTGGGGGGGAATTAGATTGTAAGCTCCTCTGGTGCAGGGAGCTTGCTGCCTGGCTTGCTCAGTGCTGGCTCCACCTCCTGAGTCCCTGTGTGGTCCAATAGGAAGTAATGGCCATGCTTGGTGCATTTGTAATGGCAATGCAGGACCCGCTGAGGAGTCAGTGTGCCTCCATTGTAGGCGGGGTTTATGGGCTTACCACCAATGAGAAGAAAGTCTTCCAGCTACGAATGAACTTTCCCTCAAAGAGTCGCACAAACCTGCACTGCAGACATAGGACTCTGTGAGGGCCCAGGACACCCACCAAGGTGACCCACATACACAAATCAGGGTGTGGGACGCTGAGCTGTGGGGGGCGCTCCATGTGTGCGGTGACAGTGCGGTTACTGACAGTCACACAGCAACAGAGGATACCCACCGAGCCATGCTATCCGTATAACACAACACGGGGCAGTTTACAAAGTGATCATGTGACCAGGAAGAACCCCTCCCCCCCCCCCCCCCCCGGTTGTACACAGGGTACTCACGTGTCACCCTCTTCTGACAGGTAGGTGAAGCTGTTGATGCACTCGGTGCCTAGGCTCCCGGTGACCCCCCCGGTTGGAAGGCTGGCAGTCTGTGGGTTGGGCTCTATGCCGTAGGAGGGGGTGTCCTCAGTAAGGGGCACAGTGCTAGTCTGTGGAGCTCTCTCTGCCACCAGGATGTTCGGTTCACCAATCAGAGTCTGTGGGGCGGGTTCTGTGGTCTCAGGGTGTCCAGTAGGGGGCAGGCTGTCTATGATGGAGGCGGATCCATAGGAGGAGGAGTCTATACGCTCTGTGTCCTGGGCCTCAGCCTGCTGCTCTTTTTAGACTGGTGGGGGAGGGAGGAGTCCGGATTGGAGGGTCCAGAATATCGAGGGAGACCCTCATCCTGCAGGGACTGCAGAGACTCCGCAAGACCCGAGTCAAAGCGCACCTCTTCTGGGTGGAGTCCAAGTGTCTTCCCCTCCCAGTCCTCCGACATCGTCCAATCTCATGAGAGAGCCACCTGGGGGAGGGGGAAAGAGTCAGATGAGGTCATAGAGACAAAAACTACATCAGAGGAGCACACATTACATCAGAGGGACGCACCGACCACGGAGCACACACACGAGGGACGCGCCGACCACGGAGAGCGCGCACACACACCAGAGGGACTCGCCGACCACGGAGCGCGCACACACACACACACACACACACACCAGAGGGACGCAACGGCCACGGAGCGCGCACACACACACACCAGAGGGACGCAACGGCCACGGAGCGCGCACACACACACACACACCAGAGGGACGCAACGGCCACGGAGCGCGCACACACACACACACACACACCACACACACCAGAGGGACGCAACGGCCACGGGGGAGCGCGCGCACACACCAGAGGGACGCGCCGACCACGGAGCGCGCGCCCACACACCAAGGGACGCGCCGACCACGGAGCGCGCGCGCACACACCAGAGGACGCGCCGACCACGGACGCGCGCCGACACCAGAGGGACGAGCCGCCACGGAGCGCGCGCACACACCAGAGGGACGCGCCGACCACGGAGCGCGCGCACACACCAGAGGGACGCGCCGACCACGGAGCGCGCGCACACACCAGAGGGACGCGCCGACCACGGAGCGCGCGCACACACCAGAGGGACGCGCCGACCAGCGCGGGAGCGCCACGGAGCGCCGCGCGCACACACACCAGAGGGACGCGCGACGCGCCGACCACGGAGAGCACACACACACACATTAGTGGGACGCACCGACCACGGAGCGCGCACGCGCGCACACACACACACACCAGAGGGACGCGCCGGCCACGGAGCGCGCGCGCACACACACCAGAGGGACGCGCCGACCACAGAGCGCGCGCACACACACACCAGAGGGACGCGCCGACCGCGGAGCGCGCGCGCACACACAGCACCAGGGACGCGCCGACCACGGAGCGCGCACACACACACCAGAGGGACGCGCCGACCACGGAGCGCGCGCACACACACACAGAGGGACGCGCCGACCACGGAGCGCGCACACACACACCAGAGGGACGCGCCGACCACGGAGCGCGCACACACACACACACCAGAGGGACGCGCCGACCACGGAGCGCACGCGCACACACACACACCAGAGGGACGCACCGACCACGGAGCGCACGCGCACACACACACGCACCGACCACGGAGCGCACGCGCACACACACCACCAGGACGCACCGACCACGGAGCGCGCGCACACACACAGAGGGACGCACCACGGACGCACCACCAGAGGGACGCACGACCACGGAGCGCGCGCACGCGCACCGACACACACACCAGAGGGACGCACCGACCACGGAGCGCACGCGCACACACACACCAGGAGGGACGCACCGACCACGGAGCGCGCGCACACACACGCACCGACACGGAGCGCGCACACACACACCAGGGGACGCACCGACCACGGAGCGCGCACACACACACCAGAGGGACGCACCGACCACGGAGCGCGCACACACACACCAGAGGGACGCACCGACCACGGAGCGCGCACACACACACACCAGAGGGACGCACCGACCACGGAGCGCGCACACACACACCAGAGGGACGCACCGACCACGGCGCGCGCGCACACACACACACCAGAGGGACGCACCGACCACCTAGAGGGACGGAGCGCGCACACACACACCAGAGGGACGCACCGACCACGGAGCGCGCACACACACACCAGAGGGACGCACCGACCACGGAGCGCGCACACACACACCAGAGGGACGCACCGACCACGGAGCGCGCACACACACACCAGAGGGACGCACCGACCACGGAGCGCGCACTCACACACACAGAACGCACCCGACCACGAGGGACCAGAGGGACGCACCGACCACGGAGCGCGCACACACACATCAGAGGGACGCACCGACCACGGAGCGCGCGCGCACACACACACACAGAGGGACGCAGAGGGACGCACCGACCACGCACACAACCACGGAGAGCACACAGAGGGACGCACACACACACATTAGTGGGACGCACCGACCACGGAGCGCACACACACACCACCAGGGACGCACCGACCGCGGAGCACACACACCACAGGGACAGAGGGACGCACCGACCGCGGAGCGCACACACGCACACATTAGTGGGACGCACCGACCACGGAGAGCACACACTGGTGGGACGCACCGACCACGGAGCGCGCACACACATCAGAGGGACGCACCGACCACGGAGAGCACACACTAGTGGGACGCACCGACCACGGAGAGAGCACACATGCACACATTAGTGGGACACACCAACCTCTAGTGATCCTTCCAGTAACACACTTGCTGTCTTAGGGTGACAACACTCACTCATAGTAATCTATGGAGGAGAAGCGTTGTCACCCCAAAACAGGACTACAGAACCCCTCCCCCACACTTGATGTGACATATAGGTGTCTATAACCCGCCCCCCATCCCTATAATAGCCCCATCCGATCCCCGGGACTGATTGGAGGAGAGAGGAAACCGGACACAGCCGGAGGAGAGGCCTCAACCACACCAGAACTTCACCGACCGAATAAACCATCCAAACACCTGGACACGGCCGGCTCCTCACTCCGCTCACCTCAAAGCACGGATCCCCACAGCCAGTGCATCCTCCCCAGCCAACCAAATCCCCGCTTACTGTCAACTATAGCCAATCACAGGCCGCTGTATACGCGTCTCTTCGTCATCTTACCACGCCCCTTTCGCTGACAGAAAACTTAGAAACTTTCCTCACAGCCCCGCCCATCTATCAGCCACTGCTTATTGGAAGACATTCACCGCACGCCCCACCCATAACCCCTCACCAACCATGCCAATCACCTGGGGAATTTCCTGACTATGCCACGCCCACGATTCTACTTACTAGGCATTACATAGCTGCAGTCACATGTTTCTGTATAACAATTCCGCTTTCTATTCCCCCCCTCTACTATTAGCCCCGCCCCCGCTGGCCGCAAAAGTCTGTCTTATTGGTCACGGGTGAACTGTATGCTTTGCTGAGACGCTTGGATGACATATGTCGCCCTCTGTCAGTTGCCTAGCGAATCGCTATGGGGATGCGCATGCGTAGTGTGTCCTGACGGCGCGCGCGCGCAGAGACGGGGGGGGGGTTTGACTGGATGCGGCCTCCCGCAGTGGTCCATTCGTGATGGCGGAGCTGTGCTGGTGTCTGAGGAGAATCGGGGGAACCCAGGAGCGGCTAATACTGCCTGAGGGGGAAGAGGTGCGTGAGTCTACCCTGCAGGAGGGGGGAACTTCTCAGTCAGGCCTGACTAATCACTCCTGGAGGGTCTACCTTCCCCTCAGGACAGTGGGCGGGCGGGGGCTACGGGGTATACCCTCACTTTACACAGGGGCAACTAGTGCTGTCTGGGAGGGCCCTATACCCTCACTTTACACAGGGGCAACTAGTGCTGTCTGGAAGGGCCCATACCTCACTCTACACAGGGGCAACTAGTGCTGTCTGGGAGGGCCCATACCTCACTCTACACAGGGGCAACTAGTGCTGTCTGGGAGGGCCCTATACCCTCACTTTACACAGGGGCAACTAGTGCTGTCTGGGAGGGCCCTATACCCTCACTCTACACAGGGGCAGCTAGTGCTGTCTGGGAGGGCCCATACCTCACTCTACACAGGGGCAACTAGTGCTGTCTGGGAGACCCTATACCCTCACTTTACACAGGGGCAACTAGTGCTGTCTGGGAGGGCCCTATACCCTCACTCTACACAGGGGCAGCTAGTGCTGTCTGGGAGGGCCCATACCTCACTCTACACAGGGGCAACTAGTGCTGTCTGGGAGACCCTATACCCTCACTTTACACAGGGGCAACTAGTGCTGTCTGGGAGGGCCCTATGCCCTCACTTTACACAGGGGCAACTAGTGCTGTCTGGGAGGGCCCATACCCCAACTACACTGCTCCACAAATGAAAGGAAGACTGTAATCAAAGTCTAGCATGAAGTCAATGAAACTCCTGGGGTATTGTACAACCCCCTATGCTACTTACCTGACCAGATCATCAGTTTCGGCTGCTTTGGTGTTCATGAAATTAACAACAGGTGCACTAGATGGGTAACAATGACACGACCCCCAAAACAGGAATGCATTTACAGGTGGATGGCCACTGACATTTTTTTCCCTCCTCATCTTTTCTGACTGTTTTTCACTAGTTTTGCATTTGGCTCGGGTCAGTGTCACTACTGGTAGCATGAGGCCATACCTGGACCCTATAGAGGTTACACAGGCAGTCCAACTCCTCCAGGATGGCACATCAATACGTACCATTGCAGGAAGGTTTGCTGTGTCTCCCAGCACAGTCTCAAGAGCATGGAGGAGATTCCAGGAGACAAGAGCATGGAGGAGATTCCAGGAGACAAGAGCATGGAGGAGATTCCAGGAGACAAGAGCATGGAGGAGATTCCAGGAGACTGGCAGTTCCTCTAGGAGAGCTGGACAGGGCTGTAGAAGGTCCTTAACCCATCAGCAGGACCGGTATCTGCTCCTTTGTGCAAGGAGGACCAGGATGAGCCCTGCCAGAGCCCTACAAAATGACCTCCAGCAGGCCACTGGTGTGAATGTCTCTGACCAAACAATCAGAAACAGACTTCATGAGGGTGGCCTGAGGGCCCGACGTCCTCTAGTGGGCCCTGTGCTCCCTGCCCGGCACCATAGAGCTGGATTGGCATTTGCCATTGAACCCCAGAATTGGCAGGTCCACCACTGGCACCCTGTGCTTTTCACAGATGAGAGCAGGTTCCCCCTGAGCACATGTGACAGACATGAAAGGGTCTGGAGAAGCCGTGGAGAACGTTCTGCTGCCTGTAACATGGTTCAGCATGACCGTATTGGTGGTGGGTCAGTGATGGTCTGGGGAGGCATATCCATGGAGGGACATACAGACCTCTACAGGCTAGACCAGCAATGGGCAAACTACGGCCCGGCGGACCTTTTAATCCGGCCCGCGGAGCTAGGCTCCTGCTAGGCTCCTCTCACAAAGTCCGCCCTGAAGTCCGCCCGGTGTAGCATGAAAATCTGTCTCCTATGAGGATCTGTCCCCCTCGACGTATCTGCGCATGTGCCGGAGATCGCCGATCGGCTGCTAATGCCTGAAACTGGCACATGCGCAGATACGTCGAGGGGGACAGATTTTCATGCTACACCGGAATGGCGCGGGAACACGGCGAGAGGAACGCGCGGAGCAAAGGTAAGTGAATTGACACAGGGGGGACTTGGGGACTTAATAGTGGGGATGAATTACTATAGGGGGGATGAATTACTATATGGGGGATGAATTACTATATGAGGGATGAATTACTATGATGAGGGGGATGAATTACTATAGGGGGGATGAATTACTATATGGGGGGGGATGAATTACTATATGGGGGATGAATTACTATGCTTACTATGGGGGAATATTACTATTCTTACTATGGATGACACATACACATCATTCATCTACTCTTGGTCCGGCCCCCCCGGGTCCAATATATGAACCCATTGCGGCCCTTGAGTCAAAAAGTTTGCCCACCCCTGGGCTAGACAAAGGCACCCTGACTGCTATTAGGTATCGGGATGAAATCCTTGGACCCATTGTCAGACCCTACGCTGGTGCGGTGGGTCCTGGGTTCCTCCTGGTGCGGTGGGTCCTGGGTTCCTCCTGGTGCGGTGGGTCCTGGGTTCCTCCTGGTGCGGTGGGTCCTGGGTTCCTCCTGGTGCGGTGAGTCCTGGGTTCCTCCTGGTGCAGACAATGCCCGGCTTCATGTGGTGAGAGTATGCAGGCAGTTCCTGGAGGAGGAAGGAATTGATACCACTGAATGGCCCCCCACGCTCGCCTGACCTAAATCCAATAGAACCCCTCTGGGATGTCATGTTTCGGTCCATCCGACGCCGCCAGGTTGCACCTCAGACTGTGCAGGAGCTCAGTGACACCCTGGTCCAGATCTGGGAGGAATTCCCCCAGGACACCATTCGTGGTCCCATTAGGAGCCTCCCCCGACGTTGTCAGGCGTGCATACAAGCACATGGGGGCCACACAGACTACTGAGGACCATTCTGAGTTGCTGCAATGACATTTCAGCCAAATGGACTCGCCTGCTGCATCATTTTCTCACTTTGATTTTCGGGGGGGCCTTTGAATTCAGTCCTCTGTAGGTCGATCATTTTCATAAATCAATGGGACATCCTTACGTTCCTCACCCATCCCCCCGTCCATGTCAGTATAGAGATCCAGCAGATTTGTCCCCATTGAGATCTGATGGGTTTTCAACGTCTTCCTTTCATTTTTTTGGGCCGTGTATATATAGGAACAACTACATTGTGTGCACAATTATTAGGCAAGTTGTATTTTTAAGGATTAATTCCATTATTGAACAACTCCAGTGCTCCCGGTCGGTCCAAAATGTTAATAAATCTCAAACCTGAATATTTAAGAAAGTAAAAGTTAGATTTTGGTTCTTTTAGGAGAATACAGTGGATATAAAAAGTCTTCACACCCCTGTTAAAATGTCAGGTTTCTGTGATGTAAAAAAAATGAGACAAAGATAAATCATTTCATAACTTTTTCCACCTTTAATGCAACCTATAAACTGTTGAACAAAGCAAACTGATATATTTTTTAGGTGGAGGGAAGTAAAAATAAAAAACTACAATAATCTGGTTGCATAAGTGTGCACACCCTTACACTAATCCTTTGTTGAAGCCCCTTTTGATGTGATTCCAGCACTGTCTTTTTGGGGAGGAGCCTATCAGCACGGCACATCCTGACTCGGCAATATTTGCCCGCTCTTCCTTGCAGAAACACTACAAATCTGTCAGATTGCGAGGGCATCTCCTGTGCACAGCCCTCTTCAGATCACCCCACAGATTTTCCATCGGATTCAGGTCTGGGCTCTGGCTGGGCCATTCCAACACTTTCATCTTCTTCTGGTGAAGCCATTCCTTTGTGGATTTGGATGGATGCCTTGGGTGGTTGTCATGCTGGAAGATGGAGTTCCTCTTTATGTTCAGCTTTCTAGCAGAAGCCTGAAGGTTTTATGCCGATATTGACCGGTATTTGGAACTGTTCATAATTCCCTCTACCTTGATCAAGGCCCTAGTTCCAGCTGAAGAAAAACAGCCCCAAAGCATGATGCTGCCACCACCATGCTTCACAGTGGGTGTGGTGTTCTTGTGGTGATGTGCAGTGTTGTTTTTGCACCAAACATATCTTTTGGAATTATGGCCAAAAAGTTCATCCTTGGTTTCATCCGACCAGAACACATTTTCCCACATGATATTGGGAGACTTTAGATGTGTTTTTGCAAAATTTAGCCGGCTTGGATGTTTTTTTTCGTAAGAAAAGGCTTCCGTCTTGTCACTCTACCCCATAGCCCAGACATAGGAAGAATATGGGAGATTGTTGTCACATGGACCACAGCCAGGACTTGCCAGATATTCCTGCAGCTCCTTTCATGTTGCTGTAGGCCTCTTGGCCGCCTCCCAGACCAGTTTTCTTCTCGTCTTTTCATCCATTTTGGAGAGACGTCCAGTTCTTGGTGATGTCACTGTTGCGTTGTATTTCCTCCACTTGATGATGACGGTCTTCACGGTCTTCCATGGTATATCTGATGCCTTGGAAATTTTTTTGTACCCTTCTCCTGACTGATACCTTTTAACAATGAGATTCCTCTGATGCTTTGAAAGCTCTCTGCGGACCATGGCTTTGGCTGTAAGATGCGACTAAGAAAATATCAGGAAAGACCTACTAGAACAGCTGAACCTTATTTGGGGTTAATCAGAGGCACTTTAAATGATGGCGGGTGTGTACTGACTCCTATTTAACATGTTTTGAATGTGACTGCTTAATTCTGAACACAGATACATCCCCAGCTATAAGAGGGTGTGCACACTTATGCAACCACATTATTTTCATTTTTTTATGTTTACTCACCCACCCCCCTAAAAGATTTGCTTGTTTTTCAATTGAATTGTACAGTTTTATAGGTCATATTAAAGGTTTAAAAAGTTTTGAAATTATTTATCTTTGTCTCATTTTTTTTTTTTTTTTTTTTTTGCATCACAGAAAACCTGACATTTTAACAGGGGTGTGAAGACTTTTTATATCCACTGTATCTGCGTGCACAATTATTGGTCAACTACTAGTGTGCGGAATTATTATGCATCTAAATGAAGAACGAAGATTTTCTCACCTCACTTGTTTTCATGTGTTAAAGTGAGAATAACA